TATATATGTCGGCCATTTTGAATTTTCTTGGGTTAATTATACGCGAACGCATACATCAAATGTCGCTCGCAACGTACTGTATATTGCAATATTCCAACAGCTCAAATAAGTAGAGGATCATTGCTTGAAGTTCTTACACATATTTGTAGTAGCTATCTAATGAACATTTGAGGGTTGTTAGCTAATTAACTCTTGTCACAATTTGGAACCTGATCTTCTTGGCATGTCGTAATTTATTCTTTTGCATCCTTAGAGAGTTAGACGCTTATGAGCATGCCTCGATGAATTTCTTTGTTTATTCTTTCGTATTCACTTGTGCTTATTTTATAGCTGTAACCTACGTCCAGAATTATTATATTAAAGAGTTTGGCAACCTAGAACGGCAACGACAACTGCAACGGGGAAAATATAATTGCTTATATTGTTGTATTTGAGCCAAAGTATACGTTACTACACTTAATTTGCCTCATTAAGTATTCCTGTTTCTTTCAAACGTACCCTTAAATAAAAATAGTCCGCGAAGTCAATAAAACTCTCAAATAACATCGAACGAATGAATTGTTGCCGTAGTCATGCACCGTGAAAATGATGCAAATCACGTATTAGTTTCAACAACTACGGCATTGCACAACGCTTAAGACCATGTAATTTACATTCGCCTTTGTTTTTGAGGATTAATGCTATTGTTAATGACCATCTTGCCGTTGCGGTTGCCCTTGTATTTGCCGAATTCTCTATTATATTTTGCCAACGGAAATTTTAACGGAATCGATAGTCATTCGATATTTCATCCCCTTAAACTCAGCACACGCAGCATTCGTGACCTGGCGAAGCAGAAACGTTCATTTCCTACTAGCCATTATGTTCATTTCCAAATGTTCATTTCCTACTAGCCATTATGATTATGTGCAAAGACATCAATCAATGATTCTTTTATTCATTTGAGCTGTTGGAATAATATTGCAATATACAATACGTTGCGAGCGACATTTGATGTATGCGTTCGCGTATAATTAACCCAAGAAAATTCAAAATGGCCGACATATATATATATTCGAAGGTCAAACTTTTCTGGATCCAGTGTATATATATATATTATCTATATATTATATATATATATATATATATATATATATATATATATATATATATATATATATATATATATATATATATATATATATATATATATATATATATATATATATATGTTGTTCAAAATGAAAAAAATTAAAAATAAAAAATTTTAAAAATTTAATGTGCTGCTGCTACTTAAGAGGCATTGTCTGCAAAAACGGTCCAGCAAATTCTGACTCAATTTTCGTTTGGCTTCATAATATATCTAAAACTTCCTTGATGTATCCTGATTCTTGTCCAAACAGTGATTTCTTGAAAATTGTCTTATTTTTTTGTTTACCCTCAAATATGTTTGACATGTTCAGGAATCCAAAATGGCACTCATGATTAGGACGGATATTTGCAATTTTTCTAACTTTGCACCGAAGTCGTGCGAGGGTCTACAGAACATGTAACCGTATTTTTTTATTGAACCATGTATGTTCTTTTCACAAAAGTAATAATAAGCCAAATATCTATTTGGAACTGGCGATTTTAGGGGCATTAATATTTGCCCCATTGCAGTCCGTCATTCATGATCGAAAACCTAATGGATTCTACAAGGCGTAGTAAAAAAGTGGATTGCTTCTGAAATTTAAATCCTATTAAAATATGTAGATGAATAACTAAGTTATTCATATCAAATCAGAAAAGTTTTGGTCAAACTCATTTTCCGCGAAAAAGGAAGGGTTTTTTATGAGGCAAATCGTCCCTTACGCATGGGCGGGTTAACATTTATGAGATCGTGTTCTGGCCACTATTTCTTGTTAATTCTCGTCTTAGGTTTATTGGAGAACAATGCTGGTCCATTTAGTTAAAATTACACTTTGTATGACAGAATTTTGTAAACTGGAGATGGATATTTTTCCGTACAAACGCGATTAGGAGGCAATACATCCCCGCTCGTTGGTCACCTGTCAATTAAAACTTCTGCAACAAATCAATAATGTTTGTGTTTAAAGAAGGCGTTTTATAACTTTTCTTTAATCTATTATTTATTAAATAAAATGTATTTTAGACCAATTCAGTCACCATTATTTCAAGTAGTTTGTATTTGAAATGTCTGAAATATATTTGTAGTTTTGGCTTTTGTTTATAATATGCATATTTCGCTGGTAATTAAAAGTGTTGTCGATTTCAATGTTTCTTTTAATATCCGGTTTCAATAACTGATTCAGTGTAAATAACACGGCGCTTTCGTTGCCTGGCATGCTTTTCCTTTATTCTCTTTAACCATGTCTGGCAAATGTTTTTTAAGTGAGAGAGACCAAAAACTATGTGGAGACTCTCGAGGGCTGAGTGAAATATTTCGGCTTTCTTCATGCAACACCTCGAAAGGTTGCACATTTCTGGAGAAATCGTTTCTGAAGTAGAACTGATTGTCGCTAGAGTCGGAATGTTATACGTAACAAAAGATGAAATAGAAAAAATGGAAATATGTCCCTATCACAGGCACAAGTTTGGAAGATTTTGGAGGCCATCTAAACGTTCCTGTTATCACCCAACCCACATGCACAGGAGCTCGAAAATCCGTAAAGGGCTCTGATGTTATTAATAGCTTGCAAATGTGCAAAGATGTGCAAAAACAGTATGGGGTATTTGTACCTCTCGGAGCACATAAGTGATTAATATTGATTTTGAGTTTCTAGATTAAGGGCCTGTATACAGAGTGTCAGTTGTATTCATGCTTGTCCAGATCTCCGCAAATCGATTGCATTATTATAATCCATAGTCTTTATTGTTTTACAGGTATTTGCTCTAGATGCATGCCGTAAGAGTCACAAAACAAATGTAGGCTAGATAAAGAGGAAAACGCCTGGTTAAGAAGCGAAAGCCGTTCTCCAGAAAGTCCAGAGGTATTGACCCACTATGCGAGGTATAAATAAAACATGCATGGTGCCTGGTAAATTATAGCAGCAAACATAAAATATAGAATAAATTTTACTCATCTCAAGATGTCTTTTAAAGCCTTTAAATGTTTTCGTTTTATTTCCAACTTTGAGTTCGTTTTATATACGAACCAAAGACCATTTTAACAAATATAGAACATTTTCCGTGTTGATATACAGTTATATCAACACGAATGGAAATTTACCCTGGATTCCAGAGCCTTCAGTAAAATTTCCACTCGTGTTGATACCTCGCATAGTGGGTGAATACCTCTGGACTTTCTGGAGAACAGCTTTCGCTTCTTAACCAGGCGTCAGGGCCGTAGCGAAGGGGGTATTGGGGGGGGGGGGTGGTTAACCCCCCAACTTTTTTAGAATTAACATATTCGGAAAATCAGGTTGGTCATTCGGAAAATTACGGCAGTAACAGTATAACAAAATTTTAGTTGTTTAAACAGAGAAAATATTATAAAATTGTATTGTCAGCATCATAAACTGATTTACAAAATCACGGCATTTACATGGATAACATTTAACAAATCGTAGATCGGTAAATGTTTTTCGGTTTATTACTTCCCAGGGCCGTAGCAACAGGGGGGGGGGGGGGGGGCAGTCCTCAATATATCTTTAAAATACTGACAATTGATTAATTTTAAGTGGCTACATTACCCATGACAAACCGCAAAGAATCGTATTACCCATATACGCCTTCGCCCATTTAGTTCTTCTAAATTGTAAGCAAATTAATTGTAAATTTCGACGTGCTAAAACTCTGTTTTCTGACCATCAGAATTCTGTCAAAACTTCCCCCAAAGTCCACGAAATGGCATTTCAGAGACTCTAAATTTAAAAATTTCCTCGGGCCTTCGGCCCTCGCCACTCCCTATCAAAAAGAATTTCCTACGGAACTGCACGCTTCTGTGCGGAACTGCACGCTTCTGTAATGTCTGTGCGTAAAATATGAGTATTTTTGTTTGTAAATTGCGTTTTCATTTTCCGGATAGCAAACACCTTCGTGGCTTCGTATGCCATGAAATATTCGGAAATTTTTTTCGTCATTCGGAAATTTTTGGCCTACACCCCCCCCCCCCAACTAGCATGCTTAGCTACGGCCCTGCCAGGCGTTTTCCTCTTTATCTAGCCTACATTTGTTTTGTGACTCTTACGGCATGCAGCTAGAGCAAATACCTGTAAAACAATAAAGACTATGGATTATAATAATGCAATCGATTTGCGGAGATCTGGACAAGTATGAATACAACTGACACTCAGCCGAAAAACATTGTTACGTAAAACATTCCGACATTCTCTAGCGAGAATCAGTGATACTTCAGAAACGATTTCTCCAGAAATGTACAACCTTTCGAGGTGTCCCCGCACACTATCATTGCATGAAGAAAGCCAAAATATCTCACTCAGCCCTCGAGAGTCTCCACATAGTTTTGGGTCTCTCTCACTTAAAAAGCATTTGCCAGACATGGTTAAAGAGAATAAAGGAAAAGCATGCCAAACAAGGAAAGCGCCGTTTTATTTACACTGAATCAGTTAGGGACGGACCATTAGAAAAGTTAGGGGGGGGGGGTCCATTTCCAACGTGTGCGATCATTTTTTCAAATTCTTTTGCTTGTGTCGCTAATTTTTTTTACTAATCCTTGATCGAAGGGGGGGGGGGGCATTTTTCCGGACATAAATATTTTTTCAGGACATAACAAAGGGTCAAAAAAATTTTACGGACTAACCTCACACATTTTCCCTGACAAATTTTACTTAAAACATGCTTTAAACGCGTTTTTTGCACCAATATCTGCAACATTTATGTTTAGAAAATTTTTTCTCACACCATTACTTATATCAAAAAACGTTTTATTTTCCAAATTTGGGGGCCACCCTTACACAACTAATAATTTCCCCTATTGAAAAGTCTTTGCACACATTTTTTTAAACTTTTTTCGTGCTCGAAGTTGTTTTTTTTTCTGTTTCCCCTGCTCGATTTTTGCTTTTGCCCCCCCCCCCACCCCCCCACCCCCCATCACTTTTCTAATGGTCCGCCCTTATTGAAACCGGATATTAAAAGAAACATTGAAATCGACAACACTTTTAATTACCAGCGAAATATGCATATTATAAACAAAAGCCAAAACAACAAATATATTTCAAATACAAACTACTTTCCAATAATGGTGACTGAATTGGTCTAAAATACATTTTATTTAATAAATAATAGATTAAAGAAAAGTTATAAAACGCCTTCTTTAAACACAAACATTACTGATTTGTTGCAGAAGTTTTAATTGACAGGTGACCACCGAGCGGGGATGTATTGCCTCCTAATCGCGTTTGTATGGAAAAATATCCATCTCCAATTTACAAATTCTGTCATACAAAGTGAAATTTTAACTAAATGGACCAGCATTGTTTTCCAATAAACCTAAGACGAGAATTAACAAGAAATAGTGGCCAGAACACGATCTCATAAATGTTAGCCCGCCCATGCATAAGGGACGATTTGCCTCACAAAGAACCCTTCCTTTGTCGTGGAAAATGAGTTTGACCAAAACGTTTCTGATTTGATATGAATAACTTAGTTATTCATATACATATTTTAATAGGAATTAAATTTCAGAAGCAATCCACTTTTTTACTACGCCTTGTGGAATCCATTAGGTTTTCGATCATGAATGACGGACTGCAATGGGGCAAATATTACTGCCACTAAAATATCCTGTTTCAAATAGATATTTGGCTTATTATTACTTTTGTGAAAAGAACATGCATGATTCAATAAAAAAATACGGATACATGTTTTGTAGACCCTCGCACGACTTCGGTATATAGTTAGAAAAATTGCAAATATCCGTCCTAATCGTGAGCGCCATTTTGGATTCCTGAACATGTCAAACATATTTGAGGGTAAACAAAAAAATAAGACAATTTTCAAGAAATCACTGTTTGAACAAGAATCAGGACACATCAAGGAAGTTATAGATATATTATGAAGCCAAACGAAAATTGAGTCAGAATTCGCTGGACCGTTCTTGCAGACAATGCCTCTTAAAGTGCAGTTTTAACAAGCGAAATTGTTTTTTGACAAATCGCTCAAAATAACTAAACTAATTAAAAATGCAGTACGTTTGATCCTTAACAACTTTGATATCGTTTGCTTTCTCTATTCGGCCGTCTACCAGTATATTCGTCTCACTTTTCTCTTCTTTTTGATGCTATTTTGAGCCCAAAAATTTTATTTTGAAGGCTTTAAAACGCAGTTTTGATCCTAACGTACTGGCGACCGACAAGAGAATGTAGGCCATGTAGCATGCTAAATATAACTTTACTTGGATTTATGAAATAAATAATATTAAGAACGGGCTGAGTTGTTGTACTTGTTATCAGAATAGGTGGCCTTAGGGACAGCTTGGCAAATGCTAATGAGGGCATTTGCATAACCTATCTTATATAAGTTGTTTACGCTAGTAGCTCATTCTCAGTCGTGACATTTAGTCGTTCTCATCCCCCCTCACCCACGGGCGTTCTTCGTCGTTGCCACCCCCTCCCCTCATCCACGCCCATCCGTAGCCTTCCCGGAGGAAGCCCGCAGCCAGCCCCGTCGCGTGGCTCGGTACCCGTCGATTGCCCTATCTCAGTTAAGTTCCTGTTCCTGTTCATGATCTGGCACCTCGCGCCAGCCTCGCTGGGTTAACGACCCAGGTACCTCACATTCCATCGTCTGTCTCATCGTTCTTCCCGTCCTGTGTTCGCGGCAATCAGCGTCCACAATAGGCCCAAATCTCGTGTGCGTGTCATATGTCGTTCGTTATACAGTGTCTCTTTCGGAGCGGGTCTTGGTGCCCTTGCTCATCTCCACTTCCTTAGGAAGTGTGATTGTGGTACTATAGGGGAGAGGTGTTTGTTCTCGGCACTCGAGAAAAGCTAGGTTAAACGTAAAGACGTTACCAAGTCGTCGATACCTAATTTGTGAACGTGGCCATGACTAAACGCAAACTCTCGACCCACAGTCATGGCTTCGACCGAACTTCCTCTCCAGTGGTACTACAAACCGCCAAGTCACTTATCAGATGTTTTGCCATTTACGATCGAAGCGAGCTTGTTAATTGCACATGTGGGCACCGCATTTTAGTACTGTGTCTGGTTCTGTTACGTCTCGATTCATTTGAGAAGCCATATAAACAACTTGTAAATAGTATGGCTACTTTTACCAATTTGTAATTTCAAGTTTTTCAGGTTGCTGGCTATGCCATGTACCTGCCATTTGGAAATTTTAATAAATCATTCAATCATCCTTCGTCATTCTGTGGAATTTTCATTACAAAGAGCAAGCTATTTTGGGTAGTGTATAGATTTCGTCCTATTTTATAAGGCCAATCAATCGAAATCAAAATTAGTCAATAATTTTCCATTTGAAACCATGCACGTACTACTTTAAATACCACGTACTACTTTTAAATGCTAATTTCAAGTTTTCAAGAAGAATTAGATTGTTGGGCGGAGTAGGCCACTCAATATTAGCTTATTATAGAAATAAATAGGAGAAATTCTTTCCATATGGGGGGAAATATGCTATACAGGGTGTATAGAGAACTGAACAGATTTGAAATTGCTCTCAATTTCACAAAACAGATATTAATATTCAGTTTTTTTATGTATATAGCTTCTTTGGGTAATTATAATGTAGAATAATGAAAAAAAATTCTCGAACTCAAATTTTGTGAACCAGGGGATGTTTATTTTCCAACAAACTAAAAGTGGCTTGCGCACGAAATTTAAAAGCTTTAATCATATTTTGAGTTAATGGATGGAAAATTTGTTGGGTTTTTAATTACTGTACAAAATTTCAGACATTTTGCTTTAGTTCAAGCCCTTATGTATTCATTTTTTCCTAAAAATCAACCTTTCGCATGCTTAAATAATGCCTTTATCTAATTTGCATATTGCTGTCATACGCGTGAATAGTTAAAGGGGCTTAAACTAAAGCAAATTGTCTTAAATTATGTACAGTGATTAAAAACCCAACAAATTTTCTATCTATTAACTCAAAATATGATTAAAGTTTTTAGATTTTGTGCGCAAGCCATTTTATTTTGTTGGAAAAGACACTCCCCACCCTGGTTCACAAAATTTGAGTTCGAGACATTTTTTTCATCATTCCACTTTATAAGTACCTGAGAAGCTATATAATTATATCAAAAACTGGATACTAATAGCTGTTTTGCGAAATTGTGAGCAATTTCAAATCTGTTCAGTTTTTTTTTATACACCCTGTATAGTAGTCGAAAATGGATGAAAAATATAAATGTTATAAGAACTCCCCCCCCCCCCCCC